TTTAAAAAAAATTGAAAGAAATTATTCCTGATGTATCTAATACTTTATATAAAAGTATTTTTTGAAATTATTTTTTACCGTTGCAAATCAAATGTAAAAACAATTGTTCGGATATGGTAAGTGATGATGATGAACTTTTTAAAGAACTCATAAACTCTATCAAAACTGAATTAAATTCAGTGATAAAAAAGCTATATAAATGCGAAGGTTGCATTGTAAATCATCCTTCACAAACAAGACATGATTGCATTATAATAAGTGTTGAGGACAGAATTAAATATATTGGTGAAGATATATTTTTATGTATTAATTTTTTAATTTAAAAATATAAGAGATTCTTTAAGGCAGAAAAAAATGTTTCATTTATTTTGTAATAGGTTTTTTTGAATCGAAATGTTATGAAGATTATAAAAATGCACTAATATAAGTACAGCTATTCTATTTAAATTTCTGTCTTTGGTTGATGTTATGAGTATTTTTTTTTTTTTTTTCCTTATGTTTTTTTTAATAGAAATATATTGAAATTTTAGTTTTAATTTTAAAGCAAACATGTATATCAAATATCAGTAAATGGATATTGTTGTTAATTTGATATTAACTAATGAAAGAAAATTCTAAGTATATTTTATGTATAATACAGAAACTTGTTCTTTGGAAATAAATAAATGTATTTAAATAGAAAAGCTTCTTGGTGAAATGAATGTATTTTTTATTTTTTATAACAATTTTTTTAAGTATTGTATGTTTACAGTGCAGTATATGCTTCAAGTGATTCACTCGTGTTGAAAATTTAAGAGTTTATGAAGCGATTATTCGCTGAACTTATGTGATATATTTGTAAGGTTTCTTGAATACGAGTAATCTGAAGAGATATTTGAAATCTCATGAAAGAAACATCAGATGTAGTGTATGTCCTAAGAAATTTAAGTTTGTAGTTTGAAAAGTCGCGAAGCTTCTCGTCTTAGAATTTTGTAGTGAATAATCACAAGTTCTTTTCATGTAAAAAGGATATGAAAACTTATAAAGTTACTTTTAAGAGTAAATCGTGATAAAAAAAATATTTAGTGAGCATAAGAATTTAAAACAATATGAAATCTTTACATCGTATTGAATGTTCGGACATTTTTTTTCAAGTAAAACAGAATTTGAAGAAAATCTCACGAACCTTTTTTTTTTTTTTTTTTTTTTAAATTTTGCCTGGTGTCAAAAGAAACAGAAATATGCTGATGATGATGTTTTGAAACAGCAGATGATACTTCTCTTCTTATAAATTGCATCCATTGTTTACAAGTGTTTAAAAGAAAAAGTGATCTCTTCTCTTACACCACATTCGAATGCGACATGGTTTGATGCAAATACGAATCTTACAAAAACGAAGAAACGTTGACATCGTTAATACATGCAAGTCTTCTAAAATCGCAAGTCTTAATAGTATGTTCGCAATTGAATCGATTTGCTAGAACATAGAAAATGATCATGTCTTAGATGTACTTCTTGAATATATAAAATTGTAGTTAGTAGGGAAAAAATGAGTTATGATGTAGTTTTTACACTGAGTTATGATATCGGTGTTTGAAATGGTAATCAATAGTTACATTTAAAATGTGTCGTGAGTGTGAAAATGCAGAAATAAAAGAGCTTTGGCGAATTTAATAAACGTGGTTCAATGTGGTTGATGGAAAAATTTGTTCCATGTGAATTAAATAGTGTAAGATATGAACCTCTTTCTCTCAATAGTTAATTATTCAATTGTAAGACAATTAAACTTTAAATATATATGCATATAGTACATGTAATATGATTAATATTACATTGATTAATGTAAATAACTGATGATATGTGTATTAACATAGTGAATGTTCGCTTTTATGAAGTTCTAAGCATTACTTTAAATACCATTCATAAAACTTTTATCTCATATATACAAACATGACAATATCTATTTGAGTTTTCGTTTATTCTTTGGAATGTATGAAAGTTTAAATATTTTTTTTTTTTTTTAATTTAATGTAGATTGGAGTAAAATATCTGTATCTTTCTTCATTTCAATCGGTAATATCTGTATGCTGGTAAAGGTACATATGTTCGTAAGAATTATACTGTGTCACATTTTTGACAATCTTCTTTCATTCATATTAGCTAATAAGAGAATTATTGAAGTTAGTAAAGTAATGAAAATCAACGTTATTGAAAAAAGAAAACTCTAAAAGCATTTACATTTCCAGAAATATATCAAAGTTCCTTTTCTTAAAAACAGCAGGTGTATCGTAGTTTTTTATTTCTATTTCATTAAAAGCTGAACTTGTAAAAATAAAAATTTTCTATTAGTGTAAGGTAAACAAAAAGAAAATCAAGAGACAATCCGTATCATGAATGAAATTCAAGTCTTACATCGGATTTAAAAAGAAATATTCTGAATCTAAATGTTTATGCCTATTTAGCACAAAATGCGTTTATTTGTGTTATAAATTTAACTAAAACCATTCTTATAACAGTATGTTGCCTTTAAACTGGGTAAAAGTGTTAAGTATATTTTCTGATGGTATTGATATACTTGTCAAAGAAGTTCTAGAAACCTCAAATGTCGAAAGAGCATATATGATAAGAATCTCCTTTCCTATCGCTACGTCAGTTACAGGTTAAGGGGTGGCTTGAATGGATAAAGGTAATGTTTGTGCAAAAATATAGTAGTTCTATTTTGAAATGAGAAATAATTCGCTTTTTGTCAATTAAGGAAACTTGTGGTATTATTAAACAGAATGTCAGTGAAAGACATTGCGTTTGCATAGTGAATTATGAAGGTACTGAAAGGTAGTAAAGAAGGTGAATGAAAGAATTAATTTGAACAAATAAGGTAAGGCTATCATTAAAAGAAAAAACTGTTTAAAAGATGTATGTTAGAATTAAAAGTAAGATGTTAAAATTTAAAAAGATGTAACAGAGTAAAACCAAAGAATACTGGTAATTCCCATCTGGAAAACAGTAATTTGAGTACGATATTGAAAAAGTTGGTTTTTAAGAATTTCTTTATGCATGTGATGCAAAACAATTGCTAGTTTATCATGAGTGCTGACATAGATGCAATTAGTGCAGGAAAAATAGTAAAATTAGTATAGTTAGTGTCTCTAAAACATGAAAAAATAATAGTGTGAGCAGTGTAAATTCATTTGAAGTACTGAAATATGACATAGACTAAATATCAGAAAATGTAAGAAATATTTTGGTATGTGTGGATGAAACACTGAACGTGGTTGTAAAATTAGAAATGAAAATTATCAACACACTTAAAGGTAATCGGGATTTAAAACTAAATATGATGTTAGAAACTTTGAAGACCATAAAACTAAAACTATATGAGAAAGAAATACATTTAGATATAAATGGTATTAAACTGTAAAGTAAGTTGTGAATGGAAATTTCTGAGTAAAACCTGTAGATGATCTATTATGATCGAGGAATAAAACAAGTATTATAAAAATTGTAAGGAAATATTTGAATATGGAGTAAATGAAAACAATCCATATCGTTAAAATGAATAAAAAGGGAATAAAATGTTGGAATTACGAGTGATGAGACAGAAATAAAAACATTATAATAAATAAGTTAAACTAGAATTAAGAAATATAAACACAGAAGGGAAATCATTGAACGTAAGAAAAGCAATTAACAGTTATAGACTTAAGTTTTTAAAAAAATATTCGGTAATGTAAGGAAAATATTGTTAAACACGTGAAAGAAATTAGAAATTCTGTAGAAAATTTAGTAAAAGAACTAAGATCACGAAAAATAAACGTTTATTTTTAAACTTAAATTTACAATTTCATACCACTAAGTTAAAGTGTGTATAGAATACTAGAATGGTTTAAAAAAAAGTAAATGAAGTTAAAATTCAGAATATATTGAACATTATAACGTTAAAATAAGTGTGAAATTGCATCTAAAATTAAGTAGTGTAACAAATAAACAGCATGTGTGGGAACGTTTGTGAAATATAACATATAAGTTAAAAATCAGGGTATGCTGAAATTTATGAAAGGTATGAAAAAAAAATAGTATGTGGAAATTAAATAAATATTACAAATTAGAAACGTGTTAAGTATTAAAAAAATATGACAGTAAATGAATATGTTATTATGAACAGAAAACCTAAGAAATAAGTTAAAGTTTCATGGAAAACTAGAAAGGATAAAAGTATCAGAATAAAATTGAGTAATAAAAACAAATTATCTTGTAATTTCATTTTCATGACATGGTGAACTATCATTAAAGGAAAGTCTTTATTATATTTGTTTCTTTTACATTGTTTTCAGAGTCGCGCATTGAATAATTTTAACACCAGACTTAAAAAATATATTTCTAAAACATATAATTCACTTTTTCGTCAAGAGAGGGCAGCATCGCTATATCATCAAAATTAAGATGCAGAAAATATTTCCCGTTGCCAATATAAAAAAACTAACTTTAAATGAAAAGCAGGAGGTCTACAACTCAACCAGCAGTCTACGAATACCTCAACTCCCCTCGAAACCACGCCTCCTAGTGTGATGACGTTGCCTTTGGTCCCGCCCTCTGTGTGACGTCGTTGGCCACGCACACACCGCACACCGCGTGTCGCAGAACCCCCATTTTCTATCTACTGTCGCTTCTGTGTCGATCGATAGTTCAAGATCGTGAAGAGTTTTTCTGTATCAATAATGTATAGCTGTGATTAGGAGCGGGTATATGGCCTCCATATGTATACTTAAAAAATTATTCACAACTAAAAATGAATGGTTTATCTAAATATTTTGAAACAAGAAGGGACTTCATCTCTCACTCGCTTAGAACATTTTCGAACCAAGAAGTTACGATAAAAATTGGTATTAAATACCACTCGTAAGTTTTAAGACCTCAAAGCGTTTTGTGCGCTCTGTAGTCTTCAAATATTCTAATGTTCATTCAATTTACCTGTTATCTGACTATACTTTTCAAATTGCTAAATTTGTTTATTATTATTTCAGATGAAAAGATTAAATGGAATTCAGCCCCATATACTATGCTGTGCTGCTTGTAAACGTTTTTATATTTTATCTGCAAATGCCATTGATGAATCACTGGGGAACAGCGTTATCGAGAAACATTTTGCAAGATGTAAAAAATGCTTGTATCTCGAAAACGAAGGTTGGATTAGGAGAGACCTAGAAGTATACAAAAAGATATTAAAGCTTTTGATCACCGAAGAAGAGAAAAAACCGACAGTTTCAAGCCTAATCTATATTTTACAAGTAAGATATCATTTTTTAATCCTCCCTTTTTTCATGTTTTTTATCATTTGTACAGTATAACTCTAAACCTTTAGACTGAATAGGATTACAGCCCTTTCGAATATCCGAAAAATCCGGGTATTAGGTTGTAGAGACATTAGGTATTTTTTTAGAAGCAGACAAGATGAAACGCCTTCGCCGGGAAGCGAACCACGGACCTCTGGAATACGCACCCAGCGTGCAGACCACCACACCCCGAAGTCATGCCAAGAAGGCAGGAGAAATACCTTATATACTTCCCTTTTTAAAGGGCGACTGGGGTTTTTAGGGAACCCAATCGCCAAATCCTGGGTGAGGAAAATCGTCACCCACAGCCCTTTTTAGTTCGGGTGCCACTGTAGAGACATTAGGAATTTTTTGGAAGTAAGAGAGATGAAAAATATGCAACGCTTTCGCCGGAAATCGAACCATGGACCTCTGGAATACGAGCCCAGCGTGCAGACCACCACACCACGAAGGCATACCAAGAGCGCGGGATAAATACCTTATAAGGTTATTTTTTATCTAAATGCCAAAGGCACACTACATTCCGGTGTTTAATTCGCATTTTATTCACTTATTTACAATGACTGACATTTTTCTGAAACTCTTGCGTTATTAAAATTTCTTTTCAGAAAGGATCTAGTTTAAAGAAATAAGATAAGTTTCATATATACTGTTCTTTACCTACTTCATAATTTTTCTTATTGGAAAAAATAAAGATAAAAATGCTTCTAAAAGAAAAACAATTTATTCAAAAGGGCAAAAAAAGAACACGCAAAATAATAATTAATTTAACTTTTGTTCATACGCTTAGCAAACTATAGCTTTCTTTACTTTATACACTACCCGACATTGAAAATGCAAACTAAGAAGGAGTGACAAGAAAGTGATGAAACTCGGCAAGCAGAGAGAGACAGCAACAAATAATAAGTGTTCTTTATTTCGATATGATATGCATAATACAGAAGGAGAACAGCGTCGGCTTAGTAGGTTTTAGAACCACCTTAGACGACGATACACGAAGCAACACGTCTTCTACGTACAGAATCAATGAGACTATGGATGGTGTTCTGAGGAATGGCTGTCCATTCCCTGTCAACTATTTGCCACAGTTCGTTTTCTGAAAGCGGCAATGGCAGGGTCTGCAAATGGCATCCTATTATATCCCAAATGTGTTCTAAAGGTGAGAGATGAGGAGAGAACGGTGGCCAGGGATTAGGAGAGACGCTTGATCAACAGAGGCACACGAGTGGGACGTCTGCTGCGTAGTCCCATACTCAACAGTGTACGCTGAACTGTTTGTTCCACAATGCACTTGGACCTGCATTGGGCTGTCGCTGAGTCACAGCCTGGTGCCTATTTGCTGTACCAACCAGAATAGTCTCCGACGTTCTTTCTCTTTTATGACGCTTGACATCCAACGCTTTGGCGTCTACTACTGGTTAAACCGTCATTTATCGACTTTGCATAAACAGTAAAAGCGGCAGATCGTGAACAACTTACCAGTCGTACAGTTTCGGAGATATTCGTTCCGAGTCTTCGAGCCATTAACCATCTGCCTTCTATCAAATTACCTTAGATCAGCAGACTTTCCTATCACTCGCAAAAGTAAAAAGCAAGATTGATTCCTTACCTTCTTCAGCAGCAGTTAATACCAATTCCACTTAATCACGTGCCCTCCATGTCATCCAGATAAATTTATTGAAAAATGTGGGTATTTTTTTAGGTGACTTTCCGAAATACACTGGAAATTTCTGAACCTCCCCCCCCCAAAGAACTGCTAGTTTTTTGTAGCCGTATAATTTTCTGAGTTGAATTAAGCGTCTTACTAAAATATGCCACTGGCCGCCTGTCTTGGATCAAGGAATCTGATACTAGCACTTTGATCAATTCAGTTTTGAATCTTTCGAATGCTGTATTTGTTTTGGCCGACCAGGTAAGCTTAAATCTTCGATAAAAATTCTATAATAAAAACACAAAAACACAAACACAAAAATGATGCTTATTTCTTCGCTATATTATATATGTAGGGTAATTTTTTATTTTGGAATCTTCGGTTTCGATTCCTTTCTGAGATATCTCATATCCCAAATAACGAAGTTCTTTGGCCGCAAATTTTATTTCAGGCATTTCTGCTTACATTCCTTCAGCGTAATCCCATCATTCACAATAGTTATAATCCACTTGGAAGATTCGCTATTCGTTTAGGTACTATTATTCAGTCCTTGAATAGTTTGAGCAAAGATCGCATGCCAAAACTGTAGTTCATTTTGATGTCAAGAACGCTGCTCAGGGTGCACTACGAGGAGTAGAAAACGTGATGTAACCTCATGGAAAAGACAAGTAGAAGTTTTTAGAAAAGCAGTTTTGGATGCGAAACGAACGTCCTTTGAAAACTTTATTTCTTACGCAAACGATAGAGAGTATTGTTTAAGGCTTTATGAATTCTTGGCCAATATTTAGAACAAAAAGAAAGTGTTCAAACGGGAAACAATCTCTACTAAAAATAAAATCTTGATCTCTCATGGGGACATAGCAAACGCTTTTGGAAACAACTTTGCTCAATATCAAAGAAAGGCTGTTGTAAGAAGAATGGTAAGGCTCCTAGAAATAGATTGGAAAAAGGAAATATTCTTTAGAAAAAAAAAACATAGGAAATGACCGACATCTAAACGATGTTTTCAGTACCCCTTTTAGAATACATGAATTGGATATATAAACACGCATCCTACGTGTTTATACGGCCACGTTGTTGTTATTAGTTAAAGCTTCCTATTCTACGGTCATATTAGGTTGTTCGGAAAATAATGCAGGTTTCTAACCTATATCTTTGAAGTATCATAACTCAACTCAAGAACTACTTTATTAATCAAAATAAGCACCAGCTGAATCAATGCATTCGGGCAACGAGATGTAAGTTTATTTATGCCGGTAGAATAAAATTCTGGAGTTCTGGACGCGATAAAGTTGTCAAAGGCGTTTCTGACCTCGTCTTGGTTTCTGAACCATTCCTTCTGCAGAATGTTTTCCAGATTTTTGAAAAAGTGGTAATCGGTCGGCGAGAGGTCAGGCGAACATGGGGTAAGAGGGAGAGTCTCGTATCCCAATTCGTTCAATTTCTGTAGGGTCAGCTGCACGGCGTGTGGCCGAGCATCGTCATGGAGAAAAACTGGCCGCTTTCTGTTGACCAATGCCGAGCACATGCGTTGCAATTTTTTGGTGCGTTTCGTTGATTTGTTGACAGTACTTATTTGCTGTAATCGTTTCGCCCAGATTTAGGAAGCTGTGGTGGATGAGACCGGCGCAGACCACCAAACAATCACCATAATTTTTTTTTGGTGCAAATTTGGCTTTGGAAATTTGGCTTTTGGTGCAAATTTGGCTTTGGAAAGTGTTGTGGTGTCTGACACGGGTCCAACCACTGAGCCGAATGTCGCCAGTTGTTAGAGAGAATCCACTTTTCATCACACGTAAGAATTCGATCAAGAAAATTATCGTTTTTGTTTCAGAGAAGAAGAGCACACGACACTTCAAAACGGCGATTTTTTTTAAATTTTCGCTCAATTCGTGAGGCAAACACTTATCGAGTTCTTTTCACTTTCCTATACGATTATGAAGTGATCAGAAATCCTTGTTTTGCTTACGTTAAGTTCCTCCGCAAGCTCTCGAACAGTTGTGCACGGATTTGTTTCAACTTAAGTCTTCAAATCATTATCATCAACAGCTGAAGAGCGTCCACGACGCTCGTGATCTTCCAAGTCAAATTATCCACGACGAAACTTTTGGTACCACCGTTGAACTTTAGATTCATTAACACTTTTCTCGCCCCATACTTCGTAGACATTTCCAGCCGTTTGTGCTTCAATGTGGCCTAGCTTGTACTCATAAAAGTAAATTTGCAGAAAATCCCGTTTTGCTTCTAAACAAAAACACCTAGTATATATATTTTTTTAAATAATTTTGGAACAAAATGATTATTACAGAATTATAGAGCGAAAATAGAGCTTCAAAATGATATATAAACCAATGTAATTCAAAATATTTTTATTGCTAAAAATGTATAGGAAAGATAAATAATTGCGAAAACCTGCATTGTTTTCCGGACAACCCGATACTTAATACGTGCCTGCTAGTATACGCCGGTAATCCTTATTTAAGGGCAACTACGCGAGTATGATCCTGTGCAGCTACGGCTGATTAAATTTATCTAGCATTAGTTTAGTTTTATATTTTGAGTTAAAGCCCAAGTGCACGCTTCTGTTACGCCCAAGATAAACCGTCTGTAAAGCTATTTTGATTGAAATAAAAAGGTATTTTAAGCCTTCTGCGGAGGTGTTAAATACGCACAAGATTTCGTATCGCACACACTTTGATAGAGATATGCAAACATCTGGTGAATCGCCTATTAGGGTATCGTTTACTGTACAGAAGCACAACGTCTTGCACATTATAGTAGGGTGCTCTATATATGCTAAATGCATATCTGGATATGGGAATTACTGAGACCTTCCATCCTACTTCCTCTGCGAATGACTGTCTAATGCCGAGTTTCGCGCTCGAAGGTTTTAAACTTCGCGATGGCTACGAATGCGTTTCCCCGACTACCATTGATACGAATTTCCAAACTGTCTTTCAGTAATCTACCCTTCCCTGAAGTTCGTACGCACTTAAGCGAATCAATCTGTATACATTCATACACGATTGTTATATTTTAACAAACCTTAAAATTTCTGATCATCATTAATGTACTTTGCAGCACAAAAATAATGAAAAAATAATAATATGGAATTAAAATTTTTACTTCATAAATTTCAGCCTTCTGATATTGGTCACTTGGTGGAAAAAATCTGGAAAAATCAAAGTTGTTTGAGTGGCACAGCAAATGCAAATGATCTAGAATTCATTCGTTATAATATTAACGAAGATTGGGCACCGTGGAATTGCATGTTAGTTACAAGACAAGAAGCTGTTACTCTAAAACGAATGCCAGATATTAAAAAAGTAAGATATGCCGCATCTCACTTCCTTAGCCCTTTTTTTTTTTTTTTTTTTTTAGTATATTTCATATATTGATTTATTGATTATCTCTTGCCTTAGAATATTTGGATTTGCATAGTGAGACTACTTGATTATGTAGCATTCGAATTAACTTTCATATTTAAAAAAAGTCCCCCTCCCAAATAAATGTATATAACTCAAATTGGAGAGCTGTTAAATATTTACTTGAAGTAGGACACAGAAAATAACTCAGCTGTAGCTAGCATTTGAGCTTCATATTTTCCGATTATTTGCTGGACAAGCAAAATAGCGGCATGCACTCAGAAAGAAAAAAACTTTTCATTCGCTCTCGCTTAAAGGACGACTGGTAGAGCAGTGTTTCCCAAGGTGGAGTTACAAGAGGGCAATTTGAAAATGGACTCGTTCCAAGTTTAAGTTAACCGTATGGCTACTCTCATTCACAGCTCAAGCTGGAAAAACCTCCAGGTCTAAGCAACTTCTATCTGCCATGTTAGTAGCTGTGACTTCATCGTTAGACGTTAGTTCAGTTACTGGTTATACTGGAGCGACACTAAGCATTTCGCCATATTTGCTCTGAATGGCGCGAATAGTGCAGGGATCTAAGTTTCTGCAGAGTTTTGCAGTAAAGTTCAGCATTTATCGTTGGTGCTAATTTAAAATAAGCGTCCGTTAAATTGTTGTAAAAGTCTCGTTGATTTAAAAAATATATACATTGTATAAATATAAATGATATATAAATGGTATGTAAATTCAATTGGTAATTTTTATTAATTTCAGTTTTAGAAGTAATTTTCCAAAAAAAATTATCCAATGAAAAGTTCTTTTTTTTTTTCCTTCCGGTGAGGAAAATGTGCTATACATTTTAAAATATGATGCAGTTTTAGTCTACGTTCTTCCAGTTCATATTATTATTTTTTATAGTTTTTAATTGAGGGAAGCATAGGAATTTTAGAAAGGCTTAGGTGGAGCATAGCACAAAAAAGGTTGGGAAACACTGGGGTAGAGCGTAACCAGTCAGTCGAATCTAAGTAATGACGGATTATCGTTCCACCACATTTTTGTCGAAAGCTACTGAAGACTTATTATGTTTTCAAAGTGTGCAGGAAATGTGAAAAATCAGCTATGCCCTTACCAGGATTAAAATTCCGGATCTTCGAATTCTTAACCGGAAGTGCTACCACTTACACCACGGAAACAAGTAATGAAGAAGCGGAAAGTTCTTTGTATTCGTCTATTCGAATCATGTGAGGCTAAAATTAACTTTCGCTCTTAACAACATTCATCTTGCTGCAGTCTCGAGACTAAGATCTTCGTTTACTTTTAAAATTTCGGACTTTCCTAATGGAAAGTTTCTCGAGGTTATGTATGTGTTTCCAACTCCAACTTCCGCAGCATGCCGTGATTAGCATGAATAATTCATGCTGTGTTCCGGCAGAGCTGGCCGTAGGGTTTCTGCCGCCGCAGGAAAACCTCAAAAGTGCCGCCCCCCCAAGTTGAAAAACTTCAATATTAAAACAAAACAGATTTATATATTTAAAAAAAAACCATGATAACCAGAATACACTGGTGTGCAAAAATTAAGGACGAAGTCAAAAAATTAGCATATCAGCTGAACGAAGAGGCAGAGCGGACAGAAAGACCAATCAGGAGATTAAGTAAGGTGATGTACGGTAGCACATGCGCAGATATGCAGGTAGACGTAATGGGGGAGTGTCTGAGTAGTATAAAGCATGTTGTCGGTGTAAGATAAGTATTTCTGGCAAAGAGATTGCACGCCGTATAGCAGTTAAAATCACACCGAGTTGCTGCCTCAGCGAGAAATGGCGAATAATCAATCTGTTAGACGACATCTGGATGCTTTTACCCGAGGTCGAATCATTGGGAAGTTGGAGGAAGGCCACAGTGTGACAAATGTGGCTGCAGAGTTCGGAATTGCTCATAGCATCGTTCACGACTTTGGAGACGATTTCAAACTACAGGAACAGCTATCCGGGGGTTTAGTAGTGGTCGTCCACGAGGAACCACACCCGCAGATGACCGGTATATTGCCTTACAGGCCAGAAGAAACAGGCGGCAGACAGCGGGAGAAATCGCTAGACACACGACACAGGCGACTGGACGACCGATATCGCGTTTTACCGTGGCCAGAAGACTGCACGGTGATGGTCTGTTTGGTGTACGGTGTGTACCTCTAACGCCTGCCCATCGGAGAAGGCGTTCTCTGTGGTGCCGGGAACACCGGAATTGGAGAGACAATGAATGGGGACGAGTATTCTTTACAGATGAGAGCAGATTCAGTCTGAGTAGCGATTCTCATCGCATACTCATCTGGAGAGAGCGGGGAAGCCGCAATCATCCCTCGAACATCATTGAAAGGGACAGGTATGAAGGTGGCGGTGTTCTCGTTTGGGGAGGCATCATGCTTGGTAGTCGTACAGACCTTCACATCTTCGACGTAGGTTCAGTCAACGGGACCCGTTATTGTAACGAGATTCTTCTTCCATATGTGCGTCTTTTTAGAGGCGCTATGGGTCCGCAGTTCCTTTTCATGGACGACAATGCACCATGTCATCGCACAGTAGCTGCCGAACAGCTCTTAGAGAGTGAGGATATTGAACGTATGGATTGGCCGGCACGATCTCCGGATCTCAATCCCATCGAGCATGTACGGGATTTTCTAGGCAGACGCTTGGCAGCTCGTACCTTACCACCAGTAACGATTCCGGAGCTTCGATTGGCGCTGAAAGACGAATGGCAGCAGTGCCTCAATAACTCATTGACACCCTCATTCTCAGCGTGGGCAGACGCTGTGAAACCTGCCTAGCAGTCGGGGGAGATCATATCCCCTATTAAAGACCGGATGTTTCTTGCTGGACACCCATCACAGGGATGTTTCGGCCTTCAATCGCATTGCGCTCCATGCTACTTTTTCAATAAGGCTTCTTTTTATCCCTCTGATTTCTCTTTTAGTAAGTGTTCCTTACATTACTCGTGTCCTTACGTATTGGGGATCTTACGGTATTAAATGTGTTGATTTGGAAAGCTTTTGTACAAAGTTATATTGAAAAAACTGTCTCGTCCTTAATTTTTGCACACCAGTGTATTACGCTCTAATCTAATTTTATTAAGATAATAACACTCATACAATATTTACGAATTCTTTTTTATTAAAAATGCACAAACTTTGGGAACTAAAACTGGTTCAAACGATATATTTAAAGTAACAAAGAAAAAGGAATACTAGCACAATACACAAAGTTGAAACATAAATTAAAAAGGAATACTAGTACGATATACAGAGTTGAAACATAAATTAAACTCATCTCTTTCGAACCTTTTTTTCTTCAAAATCACGTATTTTGAATCACGTATATTGTGGGGATTTATGTAATTTACTTGGCCGTTAATTTTATGTTGAAGCAAACTTTCCTGTCGCTCTTGCTTTCAACTCAGGCTTTCTTGCCAGAATGTAAATGAGTTAGTGCACATTTATTTAAATGATGTAGAAAGAAGTTAGTATTTAAGGGAAGGTTTTGGAAGATGCACTGAGAGCATGTTCTGCTTGCCTGAAGACCACGTTTTTATTATTTGATTTACTAGCAATTAGATATCTGTGGCATTGAGCTCATGCTGCCGTTTATTTTGTTACCGCCCAATTTTACGAGTGAGAGGCAACCTGCGTGTTAAATAACCCGTGAAGTGGTTACGCTAAAGTTACTCCATTTAGTTTTAAGTTAATCCTTAGCTTTTTGAGTTACGCCAAACGTGTTGGCTTTTGTAAGTATGAGTCAGAGACATTTGTGAATTTTAATTTCAGTTAATAAAGGGTTAACTTTATTAAAAGCCAAACAACAAAAATCAGCGTTATATTTTCAAATTTTCTCAGGACTAGTTTCGATGGTTTTACCGAACCATCATCCTCATCTGCAAATGCGCAAATGAACGAGCTAAGATATAATGATTAGATAAGATACGAAAGCCTGGACAGGAGATAAGCTACTGGCGCCATCTGTTGATGAAACCAGAACTAAAACACAATTTTTTTAAAGGCTGAAAGCAAAAATGGATTGGAATTAGTGTCATTAACTAGAACAGAAAGATTTTTTTTGAATGTGAAATGCCTCTAGAAAATCCAGTTCACCAATGGAAGATGTTTTTTGAATAATTTTTGCAGCAAAAAAATTGAAAGTGTGATTTTCGGACCAACAATGCTGGGCACTTCTGTGTTTCCTTTTTTCTAAAATATGCCTCATGTTCCTTAACGCGAAATTAGAAATTTTAAGGCTCTCTTAGTTTGGCCAATGTAAATTAAAACACACTGGCAAGGGATCCTGTAAATACCCCAGGAATTCATATCCGGAATGGGATCCTTGAGTATGGAAATCGGAATTTTATTGATGGGAGAATAAACGACCCGAAAGTTAAATTTCTGCAAAATACGTGCAACTTTATAGCTAATTGATGCAAAGAAGGGAATGACAACAGATTTTTTATAATCTCCTAAAACAAAAGTGTGACTTTTGGTGTGTTGAGATGAGAACTTTTTAACTGCTTGATTAATAATGTTGGGTGAAAAGCCCCTGTTAATAGCTATTGCTTTTAAATAATTTAGTTCTTCGTCAAGGGATAGTTTGGAGGAGCAAACTTGAAGAGCACGGAAAACATAGGAATAAAATGAAGCTAACTTTTGTTTAGTAGGATGGCACGATTTGAAGTGTGGTGGAAGGCAAACCGATGAAGGTTTACGGTAAACCGTAGTACTGAAGTTGGATGTGTTACGCGTGACCAGAATGTCAAGAAACGGAAGAGAATTGCAAGTCTCAAGTTCAAAAGTGAACTGAATTGCAGGATCAATGGAATTCATTGTTGAAAGAACTTTATTTAAATCATCTTCATTACCTTCAAACAGGGTAAAATTATCGTCTACGTAGCGGAACCCTACCGGGAAGTTTAAAGTTTCAAACAATTTTGATTCATAATAA